ATGGTAGAATGGTTTGTGACGGTTTGTCACCTCTATTTACAATGATAATCTTTTCTTATTTCCAATGTAATATGGTAGCTGGTTTGTCACCTCTTTTCACAATGAGGTTTGTGAATGATAATCTTTTCTTAGATTTTGACGGTTTGTCACCTCTATTTCACAATGAGGTCAGATTTTGACGGTTTGTCACCTCTATTTCACAATGAGGTCAGAATATGACGGTTTGTCACCTCCATTACACAATGAGGTCAGAATATGACGGACTTGTAACCCCACTTCACAATGAGGTCAGATTTTGACGGTTTGTCACCTCTATTTCACAATGCGGTCAGAATTTGACGGTTTGTCACCTCTATTTCACAATGAGGTCAGAATGTGACGGTTTGTCACCTCTATTTCACAATGCGGTCAGAATTTGACGGTTTGTCACCTCTATTTCACAATGAGGTCAGATTTTGACGGTTTGTCACCTCTATTTCACAATGAGATCAGATTTTGACGGTTTGTCACCTCTATTTCACAATGAGGTCAGATTTTGACGGTTTGTCACCTCTATTTCACAATGAGGTCAGAATTTGACGGTTTGTCACCTCTATTTCACAATGAGGTCAGATTTTGACGGTTTGTCACCTCTATTTCACAATGAGGTCAGATTTTGACGGTTTGTCACCTCTATTTCACAATGAGGTCAGAATGACGGACTTGTCACCTTATTTAAAAATAAGGTCAGAATATGACGGTTTGTCACCTCTATTTCACAATGAGGTCAGAATATGACGGTTTGTCACCTCCATTACACAATGAGGTCAGAATATGACGGACTTGTAACCCCACTTCACAATGAGGTCAGATTTTGACGGTTTGTCACCTCTATTTCACAATGAGGTCAGATTTTGACGGTTTGTCACCTCTGTTTCACAATGCGGTCAGAATTTGACGGTTTGTCACCTCTATTTCACAATGAGGTCAGAATTTGACGGTTTGTCACCTCTATTTCACACTGAGGTCAGAATATGACTGTTTGTCACCTCTATTTCACAATGAGGTCAGAATATGACGGTTTGTCACCTCTATTTCACAATGAGGTCAGAATATGACGGTTTGTCGCCTCACTTCACAATGTGGTCAAAAAATGACGGAATTGTCACCTCCATTTCACAATGAGGTCAGAACGACGGACTTGTCACCTTATTTAAAAATAAGGTCAGAATATGACGGCTTGTCACCTCCATTTCACAATGAGGTCAGAATATGACGGTTTGTCACCTCCATTACACAATGAGGTCAGAATATGACGGTTTGTCACCTCCATTTCACAATGAGGTCAGGATATGACGGTTTGTCACCTCCATTTCACAATGAGGTCAGGATAAGACGAAATTGTCGCCTCATTTCACAATGGGGTCAGAATATGACGGTTTGTCACCTCCATTTCACAATGAGGTCAGGATAAGACGAAATTGTCGCCTCATTTCACAATGGGGTCAGAATATGAAGGCCGTGTCGTCTTACTACACACTAAGACAGAATATCTTTATCTGCATTCCCCAAATTATAAAAAAACGAAAATGAAAATAAAAAACACGCTTTCAAGAATTTATAGCATCTTAGTTATATGATTTCGCAAGGTAACAAGACGGACACAATATCAACAGCAAACTTATAAATCAACTTGTCTGAGATCACAGTGGTAAGAAACAAATATCATAACAAGTCTAACTGTGACATAAACAAATAAATAAAAACTGAGTCTTGCAATTTTGTTTGGAGACGAATATCTTTACAGACACATATTGCGCCATGTCAGTGGTAGATCTAATTATATATTCATATAACTGTAACCAGTTACTCCCGATAATATACGATGTTTATCAGGAGAAATTGGAATGATAATTTGACATTTCTCCTCGAGAAAAAAAAAACATGATCATAGTTACTCAAGTATGTCTCGAAGATGTGATTTAAGTTGAACTAATAGTGTTTGCCCCAGGTTCTCGGGAGGGTACCTCACCGTACGCAGAATCATCATCGATGGGACTTCCCAAACGTTTAGGACAAGGGCAGATAACTATGCCTCAGCATTGCTACTTTTTATCTATGATACCTGATTAAACAACACATTTCTTTTTGTATTATGCTAGTAAAGCTTTATCGAAATTAAGGGAAAATTTGAAAAAAAGAGATAATCACAAACTACAATTCAAACAATAATTTATTAACAAAAACAACTTTAGAAGATGATATATTTGATATTGTGTTTGGGGATATTGGGGCCAAAATTAAGCTGTTTTTCATTAACCTTTCTGTCATCTATTTGATGTATTCAATAAACAAACACAGACCTTCTATCCATCAGTTTCTCGTGCATTTCACATGAAATCAATTTTAACTTTTGATTAATATATTGGTTTTATTATGACATATTTTAAACTTTCGTTTTCAAAGACTGATACTGAAATTTAGTTTGAGCTGACAGGTACGCTGCTAGATGTAGACATCTTAATCATAAGTAAAGGAATGACATTAATCACCAGTATTTGAGCTTAAAGTGATGGACCCTAATTATTATCACAGGCTAATAAGTAATTATCCGTCATCCGTCAACTTTTCAATTTAAACGACTTCTTCTTAATAACCAGCAGATAGCATGGAAAAAATGAACATTTTGAGAAATTTAAACAACTTCTCCTGACTTACCAAAAGACACGAAGGGATCATATTTTGCTGATATGTTCTTCGGATTAACACCTATAAAATTGGCGAAAGTAATGACCTTCACCCTTTATTTAAAGTCACAGCAGTTGAACTAGTTCAAATGTTAAAAACAACTTCTTCTGACGAACGAAAAGGTGCAGAAGCATGGCATATGGCAGGATTAAGCCTGACAAAGTTTTTAAAAAGAAATTATCTTGACCCTTATTTCGGTCACAAGGCTCAAATTTGTTAACCCTTTAACAACTTCTTCTGAATAATCAAAAGGCGCATAGTATTTGGGTGATAGATTCTAAGGGTGAAGCCCGATAAAGTTTGTAAAAAGATATGCTTTTGAGTCATCTTCAAGTTCACAGGTTCTGACTTTGTTAAAATCTTAAGGCAACTTCTTCTAACTAACCAAAAGAAAACGAAGTATGGTATTTGGCTTATAGATTCCTAGGATGAAGTCTGACATTTGCGAAAAAAAATGACCTTGACCTATATGTTGAAGTCACAGGGATCGGATTCGTTGAAACCTGCAAAAGAAGTATGATAAAAAAAGTCTAAGAAACAAGATATTTCTATATCCAGGTCAAAAGCCCAACAAATTTTGAAAAATATAGAAATGGTATTTACCTATAATCTGTCACTGTTTAGAGTTGAGCATTAGAAGGGAAGGTGTCCATTGTGGAAATTGGATAGAACTAATAAGGTGTGACCACTTTAAATGCCAATTGTATACATGTTAATTCATTTTTACTATTAACACGAATTCTGTTTTAGGGGAACATTGAATACCAGGTGAGTAATTCAGTCCCGTTGGATCGCTTTTTTGGGATGGAAACTTCTGCCAGTGGATGGGAATATGGACGAGGGTTAGGGCAGGATGGCACCAACATGAACTAAATGGAAGAGAATGGCACTGACAAGACCACAATAAGGGCAGCCGCAATTTTATTCATGCTAGGGGCAAATACTGACTGATGATGCCTAGGGGCTTTGTTATCGTGTTTAGCTTCTGCCGTGCAGTATCATAAAGATACTGACAAAAGAAAAATTGTTTCAAAAACCATCTATCTATTCAATCACCCGACATCATATAACAATATGATTTGAGTAACACCCTTATAAAAGCAAGGCTAATGAATCCGTAAACCCAATACTCAGCAAGTCCAATGCTCAAAAGGCCCGATTTTTCTAATGTCCGATAATCCGAAAACCCAATCGTTACATATATCCCTCAAACAATCGCACAGTGGTGATTGATGTAAATTGTCTTAAATTCAGATCGGTAAGAAATGTCATAAAATCAAAGAATTTGTTAATGTCAGCACATTAGTTATGTGTAGGGCAACCATTTAGTTGTGTTTGGCGTGTCAACAACATCGATTTTACAGATTTCCATAAAAATTAGCTAATAAATTTCAACCAATCAGAAGCTACCCTCGGCGGCCATTTTGTTAAGTCAGAAAATTGTTTTCATCGTTACATTACTGATGTCAGACAATACCTAAAATATGCATAAATTTCAGCCCATAATAAGCCGCGTTGTGGCGATTATCTTGTCCAATCAGAAACGAATGTCATTATTGTTAACTGCTGCGAAACCAAACGTACAAACCACTTTTCAGGGAAATCGGATGAAACACGATTATTGCCCAATATTGATCAATAAGAGACTGCGGTTGACTGGTTAGATGACCAATAAATGACCTATCGAAAAAGATCAATCATTTGCACACCGCCTGCCGTGCACAACCAGTTTCGTTACATTCTAACCAATTGTTTTTAGAGACGTATCGGAAACATCTCTGTCTGAAGAAGAAGAAGAAGAAGAAGAAGAAACGAAGCAAAAACATATATTGCCCTCTATTTCCACTTCTTTTTGGCTGACATAAGTAATGGTAAACAACTGGAAGTGAATCATATAGACCTTAGGGAGATAAGCATGCAGTTTTCAAAAAGATGAAGACTACTTTCGTTACTTTTTATAATATTAAATGCAAAACATCCTTTTAATGATATGAGTTATCAAAATAAATATTTACTGAGAGAATATGTGTGTGAATTTTTTTTTTTAAATTTAACAAAGACAGAGGAAATATAGAATGAATTATATATTTCCATTTACAATTAATAGCCAAGAAATACAAGTCTGTATTGGCTTCGGTTTATAATTCATCAGCACATTATAACGAATACATATATCAATGTAAAAATTGGTCTTGACGGAAGTCTGTAAGCTAATAGTTTATAAATCTATACATTACAAGATTGTAAATAGTACTGTGAAACTTTTTTTATCCAAACACTGTAAATTGGATCTTTACTAAACTTCGAAGGATGTTGATGGCGCCAACAACTTCCGTTTTCTGATTTGACAAGATGGCCGCCATTTACTGGTTCCTGATTGGTTAACACCTATCCATCTATATCTTCATATTCTATATAACGAATCGAGATGAGAATTGAAGAAAATTATATCAGTAGGACACTCTCTAAAATGGTGTCCTTAAAATGATATTGTCATCAAAGTGGCTGCCAAATACAGGTTGCTGATTGATTGAAATTTACATACCGATTTTTGAGGTAATTGGTAAAGATATTAATTAAGACATCTGAAACACAATAGTTATGTTCATTTTTAGTTCGGACAAATGGCTGATCAGGAAATTAATCGAAAGTTTCATTTTATAGGTGTACGTCTGAGTTCCCTGCCAGTATCATGCACCAGTTTATAGTTAAAACTTTTAAAGTTGTACGCCGACCTGTCTCACAGACTTTCGTATATGTTTAAATTCTATGATAATCATCATTGACGACTGGAGATGTAGTTAGGGGTCTTATGTAATGGGTAATGTTACAGTTAACACTTGTTTTATTTGTGTCATAAATAACTATATATTAAGAACGACGAATGTAAAGTGTCGAGCTCTTAAGAACCTAGTTAAGGTAATGTATACAATAGATATAGGCAAAGCATAAACTATTTATGAAACCTTTAAAGAGTCTAATTAGGGACTCAAAATATACATAACTACCAGTCAAAGTGTAAATCATCTTTTTCACGTTTTGAAATTTTATGTTTCATTTCTGTATGAGAGTTTTTTTCAGAAAGTAAATACTATGTAAATTTATTAATCGCTTTCTATCATTTTCTGTTTATATGTTTTGTTTTTGTAAACGATTTTTGATTCTGCTTTACAATATATCACATTCATACTACAGTTTCACCCTGAAACAAATGCCAAAGCCTGCATATTCTGAAAGAATGTAAAAGAATGAGTTCAGGTATATGATATAAGAAAAATCAAAAGACATAAATAAATAGGCAGTGATAATATCCTCTAGACATAGATATATTGTAGGTATGTTTGGACCCAAGTGTAACAGAGGTCATTTTATATTTCAATGCCCCCTCTAGGAATCGAACCCGGGACCACTGACGCACTAGTCTGACGCTTAACAAATCGAGCTAAAGAGAAGTTCTCTCTAGCTTAACGGTATATTGCGGCTAGTATTTTACCATGGTTACACAAGCACACTTTTCATTGTTATTTCAAATCTCTCCATCGAGATTAAATAAAAGAGTATCACAATTATCATCACTGTTTATCCCTAAGCCACAGAGAGATTTGTGAATATTGAAACATTGAAGTAATAAACATGTTATAGTATATGAACATGGATACCTTAAGTACAACCTGATAATGATGTTTTACAGTTCAGTCCTACAAAATTAAAGTTTTTTCGAACCTAGCACTTTTTATTTATTGTTGCATTAGAAAATACGCGGTAATCTAAAAGATAAGTTACAGTAAAGTGTTCTGATTAAAGTTATAGGACAAATAATTTAAAAAAAGGAAAATATTTTTCGGAGTGGTCTTCCTTCAGACTATAGGACCTTCGGGCCTTCGGACTAGAGGATGTTCCGAGCATGGCACCTTCGGAATATGAGGCGGTCACCGAATAAATATATAAGTTTAAATATAGATATAAATATTCAATAAGCAGATGTCATAAAACGATAAATCATACCCTCACCTACAAAGACACCTTCATCTTCAAAGACGCATATACACCCTCACTCTCAAATACAAACACACACCCTCGCCTTCAAACACAAACGTACACCCTCACTCTCAAAGACACACATACCCCCTCACCCTCCAACATATACACCCTCGCCTTCAAACACAAACGTACACCCTCACTCTCAAAGACACACATACACACTCACCCTCCAACATATACACCCTCACCTTCAAACACAAACGTGCAGACTCATGGACACACAAATGAAACCTCAAATACACCATCATAAACACACCTCCAGTGGACAAAATGTTTTGAATCTGACGTCATGTATCTTCCACTTCGACCTTTGCGTTTAACATTTCATCTAAGAATTTAGTTGTGATCGACCTGAGGTCTGTCATCACTTCAATTGTCTTTGGGAACACAAGGGAGTCATCTGCATGGCTTAACAGCATCTGGCACTTTAAAGACAAACACAATTCTTGTTCCATCCTCTCTAATGTGTACTTGTTCTCTACTCCAGGTCGATCTACAAAACAAAACAGTTCAAAATCATATCAACGCACAATAATTATTTGATAAAGGACATAACGGAAAAAACTGGTTTAATCATCTCTGTTATCATTTTCATGTTAAAATATCCCGGATACTATGTAATGGGTTGTCATTCAAAAAGCAAGGACAAACCTCATTAACATGTTTCCAAAATACAATTTAACATTGATAGGGAAAGTTTGTTTTTCCTTTTTCAAAACCATTTAAAAACATGTTCTTTATTCTTTCTATTTCCCCTGTTAGATCTGCCCTTACCGTCCGAGGTGGGCCGAGACCCAGCGCGTATGCAAAAACTGACTTAACTTCATCCGAGGATGCTTCGGAACAAATTGGGCCAGGATTACACAAGAGAATTATTTTCAAGTATCTGCCATATTCTCCCTCTTTGGCCACGCCCTATTACCCCTATAGGTGTCAGACACACAATTTATGTGAAATTTAGTCCCTATGGATTTATCGCAAGGTGTTTCGTTCATCAGCTATGACGCGAAGAAATTCGTAATAAGCTTTTCTTGTATATTGTGAAAACGATATATATAGGGCCTGTATCGGTCACTGGTTAGTTCGCCCAAATTGTTTGATCTAAACTAAATGAAAAGCATTTAACATATTAATTCATATCAGAAGCATCGTTTCTACAAAATTTAGATTCATTCGCCCTAAGATGCTTCGGACCAAATTGGGGCAAAATTCAGTCATTCCTCAAGGATAAGAACAATTATTTAAAGCAGTGGCTATATCTCACATATTGTCATTCTCCCCTTCATTTCCTTTCATGTCCTCCACCCATGGGTGTTTCAATATCAAACTGAATACCTTCATCCAAGGATGCTTCAGATCAAATTTGTACAAAATGTAATCAGTCTTACAAAATTAGTAGGATTTACCTTATTTTTCTATATCCTCTATTTCGCCCTGCCCATTCAGCCCCAGGGTAACGTGAACCCAAGTTCATCGAAAAATGTTTCAGACCAAATTTGGTCAAAATTTAATCAAACGCTCATTAGTCGAAACAGCTGACGGATGGATATGTCTACCAGATGTCAATAAAACTTTCAATATGGTTCAATATTTTTCTAATCATCGCTGTACATGTTACACGTATTTCAACATGTTGTATATGATGAATTTGACAAGTCATAAAAAAGTGTGTACTTGTTTTCTAATCATCCCTTTTATGGTTAATTTGCAATGAGCATGTTCCATTCACATGAAGCATATACTATGTTATAAATAAAAAAAATCTTAACTTTCAGTTGATTTTCAAATATTTTCATAATAACGCTAGACTTTTAAGAAATTTTATGTCATTATCTCAGTGTAGGATTTAATAACGAGGCAACTTAAAAGTATATATTGTTTTAGATTAATAGGTCCATATCCTGACGTATTTGGCGAGATAAGAAACACAATTGCTGTTGACTCTGACAAATTGGCATTTGTAGTGCACGTGAGCCAACACTGTTAAGGATCCAAAATACCCAAAAAAAAGACAAATGCATACCTGAGCAAAACAACAACATAGCAGCAAGGAGGGAATGTTCCACATCATTGAGTTCGAGCTTCTGAAGCTTCTTGGCGGTTTTGTACATGTCCTGGAATAAATGCCCCAGTGTTCCGATTTCAAGGTCATAGTGCTGTGGTACCACAAACTGCAGTTTATTGTCAATCCATTCACCATTGGAAACGTCAGCATTTAGACTACCATGTATCACAGCTGTTTCAAGAATGCTAGACTTAATCAGATGTCTTTGGCTAGCTAATGTCATCTGTGTGAAGTGTGGAATCTCTTTCGCAAATGCTGTTTGGAATAACACTATTCCCGGCAAGTATCGTGAATAAACAGCTTTTGCCGCTGATTCTGTTGTAACTGTTGTTGGATTCTTCAATGAAATAACAACGACAATGAACAGGAGTGCAAACCCAAACATTAAAACTATACCAAATGCTCGATTTGTTATCCATGTTTATTTTTGTTCGGTTGATTAAACAAATATTAGCGCTGTTGTTATGAAACATTCTATTAATTCTTTTCACCTCTGTACCGTATGTAAACCTGTTCAAATCGATGTTATAATGATTGTAACTATTAAGACATGAAAAGAAACTCTGTTTTAGGATATTATTATACTTCTGTGCAGTTATTTACTGATATACATCTTACCTGATTAGAGTTGCTGAATCGTGCACAGTATATTTCAAATGACCTGAATGCCGACTTGAAGGCGTCGTGAATCGTTAGTACCATCTGTTCGGATTTTATTTGCTTATCGACGTCAACAGACCCGTGGGACGTTTGGGGCAACTTGAAAAACTTTGTTTTTGAAGGCTTGTCCTTTTTAGGGCATCGGCCTAACCGCACGCCTACGAACATGGAACAAGAAACGGAATTATTCTTTAACTAAACCAAAGTTTAACAAAACACCATTCCTCGGTATTTTTTTTTTATTTCGTAAAAACAGAATATGTTTCAAAGACGGCGTTATATTTACTTTGTATGTTTTCCCGTCAGCTATTGACATATCGCATGGAAATCGTTTTGTTTTTTGTTTTTTTTTTTCTTCTTCTTTCTGTCTTTTGGGATTCATGATTGAGGTGTTTGTAACACTTTGATGAACACCCCCGTTCTATCTCTTAATTGTGTTTAATGAATAGTTGCTAAGCCAATCAAAATTACCAACAGGACATATCATATTTCAGATTACACCCTCACTCCTCAAATTTTCAAACAAGTATCACTCACACGGTAGCACGTCCAAGCAGGGGCGTCCCAAACATTTGTTTTTAAAGTATGATAAAGAATAAACAAAACCATTAGGAAACCAGTATTTACCTTCATGTGACATCCCGGCAGAAATACATTTTTTCATTCGACAGTACTGACATCGATTTCTGCTAATGCGCATGATCAAACATCCGTTGGGATTCTCACATGGTTTGTATACCATGTTTTGTCTCACGGTCCTTCTGAAGAAACCCTGCATACATATACAAGTATACCATCAAATACGTTTCATATACAACTTAGAAAATGGAAATGTAAAAAATTATCCTGGAAAGTATCCAAATAAAGCGAACGACTATGATACAGATATTAATTATACATACAATACCTACTAAAGAAAATAGTAAGTGCTAATTCATTCATGGGTTTTTGATAAGAATTAAAATAAAGCTATTGGTAACATAATTAAGACTCGTTTATGAAAGAACGGTCATCGTGCATTAATTCTTTTTAATTTGTGATATTAACTGGTGAATAGAATAAGATTCGCTTAACCTGCCCAGGTGCTTTCTGAAAAAAACCTACCTTACAGCCCTCGCATGAGAATACTCCATAATGGTAACCAGATGCTTTATCGCCACAAATCTTGCAAAGAATATGTCCGTCCGGGTTTTTTATTTTCTCTACAAAAGCATGAGATACAAAACTTTCAACATGTATATTTTCAAGGTGAAAAAATATAATTGTTTCAAAGTAAAAAAAAAATTGCAAAATAGACAATAAACTCGTTATGTGATATTGTATTTTCATAACTAACATGACAAACTTGACTGGTCCTTATGACGTTCGAATGGTTTTTAAAAGTTTCTATAATGATTGATACTGCAATATTTTATTTAATTCTCGTTTAACTAAAATTCACCGCATGATTATTTTTGTCATTACATTAACAGGACAATGGACAGGATGAGGATATTTACGTGGGTTGTTGTTCTGTCGTTGATTGGTTCTTGTCACCGCCACCACAGTACAGTCATCATTCACTTGTATCCCGTGTGCCATGCCTGAATATTTATGCAATCATGATGAATTCCGGCTAAGGTTTTGATTCTGAAAATATATTCAACGATGTTTTTTCATTCTAAAGAATTTAACACAATAAAAAATATCTGCAGAGTGAAAAAATAGAGCACCATATTATTATTGCGTTTAGTTCTAATCTATGTAGTTGTTATCATTGTATATTTGTGTTCCTATATATAGGTAATTTTTGTGGTAATTCAACGGAAATGTGGCTGGTTAGTCACTACCCACATATATATAATAACAATTAATCAGATGGTAAACATATATATATATAAATAATATATATACAATCAATGAAGTAATAATGAAAGTACGGACAAGTAAATTGTCAAGTTTTCGAAGCCACCTGCCTCAAGATACATATATTACATAAATTACATTACATACACAGAACATAAAACAAATTACTTAGTAAAAAAGTAAAATCGAGAGCGGTGGTAAATGTAGGTGTCTCGATAACCCCTTCGGCCAATGGACGCCTTTTTCAAGGGACAAAAAATCCATTCTAAGTTGTTGTGTGGGATATGGTGATTAAAATACATATTACTAGCAAATTCAAGTGTAATCCTTACTTCGCAAATTATTATATTCACTAGTTCTCGGATAAATTCCAGAATTTGAAGAAGTTCAAAATAATGGCACAGCAACCGAGTGAGAGGCGTTTTTTTAAAAACATGTTATTATTGAAAATGCTAGGTCATAGTGCTTTGTTGATGTTCAAGGATTTAAGTATTTCAGCAATGTCATCGGTCTCAAAAACGTATATCTGATACAGAGGCGTCCGTTCTACTGTCCTGAGTCGGTACATCAAAGTAAGACTAGCTGATATCGATACGAAATAGTCATTTAATATATTTGTTTCTTTGCCATCAATATTTCCTGTTGTCAAGTTTTGAAGGGGTGGAATGTTGTCTATAGTATTAGATGTCTTAATAAGGTCACGGACTGTTTTCCAGGTTTTTTGGGGGTTAGAATCAGTTAAATTTTCTGGTAGATCGTTCATGTTCGCGTAGAATAAATCCTTGGTTCTTTTCTTTAAATTTTTAACATGGCTTCGTTGCCGTCTAAATTTATTGTAACTTTTGTCCGTATGGCTATTTTTAAATGTCTTTAGAAAATGGTCTCTTTTTTTAATTTCACGTCGAAGTTCGGACTTGAACCAAAGTTTGTCAGTCGGTTGAACAGTAATTGAATACATTGGTCAGCTAGTTTCAGAAAACTGGGAGTAAACTGGTCGCATATTTCGTCGGAAGAGTGTGTCCGTGAAAAAAGACGGTCAAGTCCGTCGAGTCAAGTTAATTGTTAAAAAGGTCGTAGTCGGCTTCGTCATAGCAAATTATTTTTCTGGTAAATTTCTTGACAATTTCAGTCTCAAAAGTCAGATTTACTAATGTAGCGTCGTTGGCCGAGATGTTAGGGTCTATATACTTCGACGTGAAATTAGGAAAAGAGACCATTTTCTTAAGACATTTAAAATCAGCCATACGGACAACAATTACAACAAATTTAGATGATCATGACAGCAAAAGAAAACAAGAACGTGTCTGATAGTAAAATTGGGTCAAGAAGTGAGGAGCGCCCGTATCCAATCCTTGTCAGTTTGTCTATAACATCAGGGAGATGGAAAGGGTTCATGTTGTAAATGAGTTTGTGGTTTTGTCTACTCTTTAATGTCACCTACGACTGTTTTACAGAAGGAGTTTGATTTGGTGCTGTTTCCAAGGAGTATTAGAAGTGATTCCAGCAGGACTGCGGACAGTTTGCTGGTACATCACAAATATTTAGTAAGTGAAAATCTGTCTTCTGTCCATATTACTTCCTCTACATGAAACTCAACATCTGGTCTTCGACAAGAGGATACGAAGCTAGACGAGTTCCGCTGTCGTTACGGAATGAGTGAAAATTGTCTAGGAGGATATCACCGTCTGCTACAGAAAAGGGAGGTAAGTCTTGGTTATACAAATTTTACTATATTCACTAAATACTTGTTCTTAGGAAGAAAATTTGTTTCATAAACTACGAATATTTAGATGAAATATATATAGATCTTTATCACAGTCTTCTAGACCAGGATTAGGATGAACATCATTTCACGATAGAAGCAAAAACTGCAGGATCAGAAAAAATATTTATAATACCAGACCGTGTAAACTATGACGCATTGATAAATTTAGATAGCGCTTATGTAACGCCCAGCCACCATCCACTCTGAATTCATAGTATTCTAATGTAGTAGATGGGATCTTATACTCCTTTACCGTGTGTACAATTATAGAAACAACCGCCGCTCTATGTCATTATATCATTACCAATTATCGACAAGAACAGGGGTGAATAGGTCACATAGTTCAGTGTAGGTTAGGGGAGAGAGATGGGCCATGTTAGATTTAGCGTAGTTGTAGACGATCAATCTGTTGTAGAACTGACTACATTTCTGGGAGGTTGTTTTCAATTTGTATCAGTACTTTGACGTATGATATCAAGGATAATTATTATATGACTTTCAACGTTATCAAGGTTTATCAGAACAACTACTACACATATTCATTGAAGAAGTCAAAATAAGCTTTATAACTGTTATCGTTTTCTAAATTTTCGTCTCAAAAACATACTTAGATAATTATCTTATGTCTGTATATAATGAATATGATCACATTTTTAAACCTGCATATCTTGGGATTTAATATATACAAATTAAAAAAAAGCTTCAGTGAAAACAGGAATCAAGCTGTTCAAACAGTACTATAGTACTGTATTATTGTGTTATAGTACTGTATTATAGTATTATAATACTGTATTATAGTACTGTATTATAGTATTATAGTACTGTATTATAATATTGTAGTACTGTATTATAGTACTGTATTATAGTGTTGTAGTACTGTATTATAGTATTGTAGTACTGTATTATAGTACTGTATTATAGTATTGTAGTACTGTATTATAGTACTGTATTATAGTATTGTAGTACTGTATTATAGTGTTGTAGTATGCGTAGTAGTATTGTATTCGAGTACTTACAAAGTATTGTTAAATTCGAAAGAAGTTATCATTGTAGAAAATTAATTGAACTACAAGGGTTATCCCCTCATCATTCATTATATACACAGATTGTAATTGTAATATGGGCTAAACATCATTTCCTTTTCGTCTGGTATCGACACATAATTCACAGGTGACTGGACTTTTGAACAGATATGTTTCCAAAAGGAAAGATATAAACCGCCTTCATGTTTTGGCTATGAAAACTGCCTGCCCTGCAGACAGCAAACAGAATTTTGTACATATCTAGAGCCAGCAGGTACCATCCTTCGCTGCATATCTCTTAAGTCATATACCGCGATGCTGTCAGGTCACATAAATCCATATGATGATGAATTAAGATCTAACTGTACGTGTATTTATCATTTTGGTACCTAGCCTCCAATGCCTAGTGACAGGTATACTACACGATCTTTAGGAGTAGAAAAAAATGACTAGTGGCTCTACAGATTTATCTCCGGACAATTAAAATAGTTAATTACAGGGTAGGAAATGCTGCTTATACTTAGTTTATGTAAGAATGTGACAGACCATTTATTTAATTTTTATCGGATTTGTGTTAAGGAGGCTCGATCCATTCAGAATTAAACGTGAAATCTTCTTGAAACTTTTATATCATGGTTATGTATCATAAGTATTCCAATGAGCTGTTAAATTTTTGTGAAAAATGAAAAAAAAACCCTAATATTTCTCCAAATTTACTTTCTTTTTTAATGTCTTTTTTTAAAAATTTCTTAAAGAAACAATAAATTGAAAAAAGAAATTAATATCTTATTTACGAAAATAGATACAAAACAATATTTACAAAGTGGAATATATTTAAAATTGTTAGACAGATTTCAATATTAGCACTTAAAATACTCTTATAGCGCATAGCTGCAGATACAAAATATCGCAGAAATGCTTCCTATTAGCCTACATTGTTAATTTATATATAGAATTGGTCCTTGGGTGGGTTGTCTCCGGTGCAGTTATCATGAACTTTTTTTTGGAGTGGGGTGTTATTAGATAACACATTCACTATGTATATATACCATCATGATAAATGTACATTTTAACACTTTTATAACAGTATGATGATATATACACAGATGTATTAAGTCCCCCAAAGGAAGTGAACATCTTATAGTTTTTTATCCATTAAATATGGCGACCAGAGCCCCTGATTGGTTAAAATATATAACGAGCCATTACTAAAAAAAAAACGTTGGTCAGATTGAAATGAACTCGGTGTGAATATTGAAGACCATGTCAAGATTTGTTTGGGTTTTTTTTTTGTTTTTTTAAATTTGTTTCCCAAAATCTAAGATGGCCGCCACAGGAAGTGAAATTTAAGTGTTTTCAGTTCGATGTAAGATTAAACATGTGTGATCATATACAAGGAAAACCAAGGTGGAATCAGTTTTTTTTTTTTTTTTTTTTTTTTGACTGAACAAACATGGCCGCCAAAACTCTGTAACTTTAATATTATTAATTTTGTATATGAAAGCTAGTTCTTCCATCTTTGGTGTAGATATGTAAGTAATGACTTTGTAGGTATATCAGCTCTCTTGTGTTGACTGCCTCTGTGATATAGAGTTTGTACACCAGAATTCTTCGGGTTTCTTGTTCTAGAGTAGATAGGCTTAGCTGTAGAGTAGAATTATTAACTACATCAATTAGCATTACTTTATGATAGTAGGGGTAGTTTCAGGAATTTAAGAAACGGTTTCCGTTACCAGTAGATCTTGTTTTAATTCATATGTTGCCTCCGCCAACCAAAAAAAAAAACCATGACTAGTTCGAGAATATCCAGTAGTGGTATTGTGGTCAATCCCATCTCACTCTCGTCCCCACAGTCACTTTTGGGAGTCAGATAAGATCTTCCCTTACAGTCACTTTCAAAAGGCGTAAACCGTGCTCTCATCTCTTCTCGTGATTTTGTTCCCCATGGCAAAACGCCCGGTACACAAATAGAAAGATAAATCACCACAAATTGGGAATTATTTGTGTATTAAGTATGGTCGGGTCTCCTTAAAATGACTTCAATATTAACTTTGTTAAAAAATGAATTTTGGCAGCAGTGTCTTGTAAAATCTCAACTGACATTTACATCGATGTAAATTTACCCACTGCAAAACAGTTTTAAATAAAAACCAGAAAAGTGCCCCGTAATCATCACGACGCAATCTGCCCATCGCTGATGTTCACGTTAGGTATTTGAATTTCAAAAGCTTTGATTTGAATTCTAGATACCATGAATAGTCAGTCATTGTCAGAGATGAGGCGGAGGGTCCGTCACTAGATGTAGGGGTGATTTGTCTGGCTCAGAGATCGCATGTTGTCAAACGACCACACGTTAAATCAAAGTACTGAGATAAGTTAAAAGCTAAGGATGTTGATAACAGATATATTTTTGTAACTTCAAATGTGAGATATTATCCATCAAATGCAAAAACAATTTTAACGAAGATGACTGTCAAGGGACAAATTTGAAATTTCGAAAACATTTTCCATCAAATCAGTGAAAGTTGTGCAAAATGAACACGAAAAATTTACGGAAACATTTTATACTTCAAAACATGTCACTTGCATTGATATTGGATTTTGAACCAGAACAAAACTATATTACAGATTATAAATGATATTTTTACTACCATAAAAACCCGCGCATAAACAACGCAATTTTTTCTTGAATTTTTTTTATATTTTTTTTCGTGGAAAGATGAACGATTTTGCGAGGCCGCCAGAATTGATTTCCGGGATTATTTGGTATGGAAAAAATATGAGCAACAAATCCAAATGAAATAATTACTGTGTATATTAATGCATACTATCCTAGTCGAAGTCAACAAAAATCAGGACGATGAGTTTAAAATCGTTATAGCAACAAGCAAGATAGGAAATAATTCATTGGTAAAGACAGTGGCTTGTGTTCAACATTGTAAAATATGTCGATTATATATTGCTCTGTTTGAAACACATTTTCGACTGGTAAAGTATTTTGATGACTCTTTACGACTCTTACTGTCGCTGATTATCACTTTTTGCCGACTTTTAAACAGACTGCTAAAAATAGCTTTTCAATGACCCCATAATTCTGTGCGTTCCGCCATTTTGTCCCACTTGGAAAATCCTCTGTCAACCAGAGCAATGCTAGTTCCTGGTTGACGCAAATCTCAATCTATGTTTTTCGTAGTCTGTCAAATTTGGTTGTCTCAAAGCGACATTATGCACACATGATTTTGTTTTGAAAGATGGCGGCACTGTTTATAGCATACACCTGCCGCTAGATGTCTCTGATAATCCGTTTGAATATTTCAACCAATCAGAAAACTAGGCTTGGTAGTAACAACTAGTCCCAAAGTCTTTGGCAATACGCTAAAACCGTAACTGCGTAACGTTTAGCCTGAAATGTGGATAGAAAAAAAAATCGTTTTCACTTATGAGCAGATGACTTGATCATAAAGGTATACATGATCTTTGACCTTTGACACCGTGGAGGGAGGGGATATATTTACACCTTCCCTTGTAAAACAATAGCCATTTTTTAACTCTATGTACCTCTCTCCGGTATTTATTCATTCCGTGGTCGTTATAAGAAACTGTAAAAGTAAACTCACATTGCACGGAACCCTTGCACCGAGACGAGTGGGCTTTCGCTATGGCTAAATGTACTGGTATTCCTGACCTAAAACAGAGATGTGTTTCAATTAGAGATATTTATCAATATATAAGTTAGTCATAACTATTCTCAGAAATGGTTTTGGTACTTTGTAGGTCAACAACGGCTTCTTGATCTCAGAATCATCACAATGTTTACGTTTTACACCAATTTCATTACATTGCGTAATAACCATTTTTAAAGTTTCAATGGGTTCTGATTGTGAATAACGTAAAAATGAGAAACTCAGTTGTATTGTTCTTATTTCGAAACTTTATTTTTTTGCTAATCCATTATTAATATTTGAAATATTTCTAAATTTCAACTCATTCTTTTTTCAGTATTCAAGCTTCAAATCCATAGAACATATTATTAAAAAACAATTATAAAAGTAGTTCACATCATAAAATTTACAAAGGTGATATATATATATACATATATATTTTGTTTTCGTTTCGATGGTCACTGATGCGGCAGTTGAATTTTGACGTATTTCCCGCTTCACTAGTTTCACTTTGCCCTTTCATCAGAGCTAATTCAACCCACACATGTACATCACTTGGTGTTTTCACCTTTCTCAAACATGAATGCAGTAATGTTGTAACAGTATTTAAAGTATCTTCCTGTTTTACCTGTGTTGTTCTCCCACCTGTTTTACCTGTGTTGTTCTCCTACCTGTTTTACCTGAGTTGTTCTCCCACCTGTTTTACCTGTGTTGTTCTCCCACCTGTTTTACCTGAGTTGTTCTCCCACTTGTTGTGCCCGTGTTGTTCTCCCACCTGTTTTACCTGTGTTGTTCTCCTAGCTATTTTACCTGTGTTTTTTCCACTTATGTTATCTGTGTTGTTCTCCCACCTGTTTTACCCGTGTTGTTCTCCCACCTGTTTTACCTGTGTTGTTCTCCCACCTGTTTTACCTGTGTTATTCTCCCACCTGTTTTACCAATGTTGTTCTTTCAACTGTTTTACCGTTGTTGTTCTCCCACCTGTTTTACCTGTGTTGTTCTCCTACCTGTTTTACCTGTGTTGTTCTCCCACCTGTTTTACCTGTGTTGTTCTCTCACCTGTTTTACCTGTGTTTTTTCCACTAATGTTATCTGTGTTGTTCACCCACCTGTTTTACCTGTGTTGTTCTCCCACCTGTTTAACCTGTGTTGTTCTAAACCTGTTTTACCTGTGTTGTTCTATACCTGTTTTACCTGTGTTGTTCTCCCACCTGCTTTACCTGTGTTGTTCTATACCTGTTTTACCTGTGTTGTTCTCCCACCTGCTTTACCTGTGTTGTTCTCCCACCTGTTTTATCTGTGTTGTTCTATACCTGTTTTACCTGTGTTGTTCTCCCACCTGCTTTACCTGTGTTGTTCTATACCTGTTTTTCCTGTTGTTCTCCCACCTGTTTTACCAGTGTTGTTCTCCCACCTGTTTTACCTGTGTTGTTCTCCCACCTATTTTACCTGTGTTTTTTCCTCTTATGTTATCTGTGTTGTTCTAAACCTGTTTTACCTGTGTTGTTCTATACCTGTTTTACCTGTGTTGTTCTCCCACCTGTTTAACCTGTGTTGTTCTAAACCTGTTTTACCTGTGTTGTTCTCCCACCTGTTTTACCTGTGTTGTTCTCCCACCTGCTTTACCTGTGTTGTTCTCCCACCTGTTTTACCTGTGTTGTTCTATACCTGTTTTACCTGTGTTGTTCTCCCACCTGCTTTACCTGTGTTGTTCTATACCTGTTTTTCCTGTTGTTCTCCCACCTGTTTTACCAGTGTTGTTCTCCCACCTGTTTTACCTGTGTTGTTCTCCCACCTATTTTACCTGTGTTTTTTCCTCTTATGTTATCTGTGTTGTTCTCCCACCTGATTTACCGGTGTTGTTCTCCTACCTGTTTTACCTGTGTTGTTCTCCCACCTGTTTTACCTGTGTTGGTCTCCCACCTGTTTTACCTGTGTTGTTCTCCCACCTGTTTTACCAGTGTTGAACATGGTTCATACTGTTTTCATAATTTATCTATAGAAAATAGCAAAGTGACATCGACACAGAGGTATATAATATTGCAGAATGTGATGGTGATGGTTGAAATGATTACTTTATCTATTTTACAACAATTGCGAAACAAGTTATTTCAACTTATGCTAATCACTCTTGTTGGCCCGGACGTAAGTGCGCAAGGGGTCTTATTGTAAGAGGAAACCGGAGTACCCGGGGAAAACCCACTTACTTATCACTGGAAAATCTCTTAGTGATGTAGTTATCAAAATGATAAGTAATTGCAAGCTGTATGTTTTTGTACGTGAATAAAGTCAGGTGATAACGTCTTTCACATATTTCCCATCAACCACCAATATGACTTAAGTAACGTGTCTTTTGGTAGACAGAATATCGTGTATGACGATATATTTACTGGAAATACAAGATATCTCTACAACCGCCTACATAATTTTATTTAGGTCGTCGGTCTAGCGCTCGACATAATTTAGCATATGACTTACATATGTAAATATTTTGTCAAATGTATGTATTTGTATATTCAAAAATATGCTAATTATACAAACCTGTGCCACGTATCCCTTGATAAACACCAATACGTTTGTTACACAATATGTCCATATACGGTATTGAGTACAATGTAATACATATTCTCTCTCATTATTGAGTAAAATCATGCTGCTTGATGACTACACAATGTTATTTTGTGCATAATATACTTATAAATTTATAGTTTATTGATTAAGTATCCAATGAAATAACAACAAGTTTTCAGTTGAGTGATTCTGTTGTATCCTTGTAACATACCTGAAGTAGCTGGAATCTAGTTAACAATTTTATATCAATTTACCAAAATCAGAAAGAATGGTTATTGAAATGTCCTATAATTTACACAGTATATACTGTTTAATAGTTATAGGTATGAAAAGTACAGGTAAATAATCTACCTGTATATAGGTAGTATATCAGAACAGTACAGGTAAATAATCTACCTGTATATAGGTACTATATCAGAACAGTACAGGTAAATAATCTACCTGTATATAGGTAGTATATCAGAACAGTACAGGTAAATAATCTACCTGTATATAGGTAGTATATCAGAACACTACAGGTAAATAATCTACCTGTATATAGGTACTATATCAGAACAGTACAGGTAAATAGTCTACCTATATATAGGTTCTATATCAGAACAGTACAGGTAAATAATCTACCTGTATATAGGTACTATATCAGAACAGTACAGGTAAATAATCTACCTGTATATAGGTAGTATATCAGAACAGTACAGGTAAATAATCTACCTGTATATAGGTACTATATCAGAACAGTACAGTAAATAATCTAGGTTTAGGGTTACACTATTATACCCTGTATATAGGGTATATCTACAGGTAAATAATCCCTGTATATAGGGTTACTATATTGTACCCTGGTTTAGGGTTAAATAATCTACCTGTATTAGGGTTATCAGAACAGTACAATTGTAAATAATCCTGGTTTAGGGTTACTCTATTGTACCCTGGTTTAGGGTTACTTTATTGTACCCTGGTTTAGGGTTACACTATTGTACCCTGGTTTAGGGTTACTCTATTGTACCCTGGTTTAGGGTTATTCTATTGTACCCTGGTTTAGGGTTACTCAATTGTACCCTGGTTTAGGGTTACTCAATTGTACCCTGGTTTAGGGTTACTCTATTGTACCCTGGTTTAGGGTTACTCTATTGTACCCTGCTTTAGGGTTACTCTATTGTACTCTGGTATAGGGTTACTCTATTGTACCCTGGTTTAGGGTTACTCTATTGTACTCTGGTATAGGGTTACTCTATTGTACTCTGGTATAGGGTTACTCTATTGTACCCTGGTTTAGGGTTACTCTATTGTACCCTGGTTTAGGGTTACTCAATTGTACTCTGGTTTAGGGTTACACTATTGTACCCTGATTTAGGGTTACTCTATTGTACCAGGTTTGGTGTTACACCATTGTACCCTGGTTTAGGATTACTCTATTGTACCCTGATTTAGGGTTACACTATTGTACCAGGTTTGGTGTTACACTATTGTACCCTGGTTTAGGGTCACTCTATTGTACCCTGGTTTAGGGTTACTCTATTGTAATCTGGTATAGGGTTACTCTATTGTACCCTGATTTAGGGTTACTCTATTGTACCCTGATTTAGGGTTACTCTATTGTACCAGGTTTAGTGTTACTCTATTGTACCCTGGTTTAGGGTTACTCTATTGTACCCTGGTTTAGGGTTACTCTATTGTACCCTGGTTTAGGGTTACTCTATTGTACCCTGGTTTAGGGTTACTCTATTGTACCCTGGTTTAGGGTTACTCTATTGTACCCTGGTTTAGGGTTACTCTATTGTACTCTGGTATAGGGTTACTCTATTGTACCCTGGTTTAGGGTTACTCTATTGTACTCTGGTATAGGGTTACTTTATTGTACCCTGGTTTAGGGTTACTCAATTGTACCCTGGTTTAAGGTTTTTCTATTGTACCCTGGTTTAGGGTTATTCTATTGTACTCTGGTTTAGGGTTACACTATTGTACCATGTTTAGTGTTACACTATTGTATCCTGGTTAAGGGTTACTCTATTGTGCCCTGGTTTAGGGTTACTCTAGTGTACCCTGGTTTAGGGTTACTCTATTGTACCCTGATTTAGGGTTACACTATTGTACCAGGTTTGGTGTTACACTATTGTACCCTGGTTTAGGGTTACTCTATTGTACCCTGGTTTAGGGTTACTCTATTGTACTCTGGTTTAGGGTTACTCTATTGTACTCTGGTATAAGGATACTCTATTGTATCCTGGTTTAGGGTTACTCTATTTTACTCTTGTTTAGGGTTACTCTATTGTACCAGGTTTAGTGTTACTCTATTGTACCCTGGTTTAGGGTTACTCTATTGTACCCTGCTTTAGGGTTACTCTATTGAACCCTGGTTTAGGGTTACTCTATTGAACCCTGGTTTAGAGTTACTCTATTGTACTCTGGTATAAGGTTTCTCTATTGTACCCTGGTTTAGGGTTACTCTATTTTATTCGTTAGAATGAATTAGTATTGTAAACCTCTAAGCGTTCATGCTCAAAACCCACTCTCAAAGAATGTGTTTTATTTTGTAAATTCAATATCGATTATTTAATATTTTCTATCTCTATATCGATTATTTAATATTTTCTATCTCTATATCGCTTTGGTTTATAATGAAAAAGAAATATATTTTCATCAAACATGCTTAATGCAAAAACACAACTTTGGGAGTTTTGAGTTTTGTTTAGACTGTGTCTGCTTCCAAGCACGCGGATTACCCTGGTCACGTGGTCATAATGATCCCGTGGAATACCGCAATGTTTGTAGATGAGTGGTATTTTTAGCTCATAAAATTTCTGAAAATATTATATTATTCTTACGAATACTATTTATTAAATCAACAACTTTTCGTAATCAACAAATGGAGTCATCATCCCGATAGAACTATGTATATAAATTTATTCTTGTATAATTCTAATAATCCTATGTTAACATTAGAACTGCTTTCAAAATCACTTACTAAATGATAAATATTTTAACGGTTAATGATAGGATAAATATATTGTCAGTAGTCCCTGTTGAGGTAGAATGTGCTTGATTTTAATGTATTGATTATTCCAGAAATCCATCACAATTTGGTCGCATTATTTTAATCCAATAAGACAGTGAGAATTCCAAGCAATGTTATCGTTACCATATCTCATTAGCAACAACATGTATTTCAGTAAGAGTTTTCTCCCCTTGTATAACAAAGTGACATCCTTTGGTCAGAGATATTCAAAGAAAACTTTTTTTTAATATAAAGTGTGTTTTCGCATTAAATGTTATTTAATGATATAAACATAATGTTGGCTCAAACATGTCATGTGATATATACATAATGTTGCCTCAAACATGCCACGTGATGTATACGTAATGTTGGCTTGAACATGTCACCAGATTTTTTTTCTGATATATTTGAAAGGTGTATAAATCTATGCATTAGTATAATATAGCATCATTCTTTCTCAGTAATCACTGCCGTTTGTCATAAAACCAAGTAAACCCTAACGTGAGTTACATTATCATGTCATAATATTCCAATTAACATGATCATGAGTAAGGTTTATTATGGCATTAAACCCTAGTAAACCCTAACATGAGTAAGGCTTATCACCAGTTAAAACTATCAATTATTATTACATAAAATTCCAGTTCACTAGTTAACACTATCAATTGTTATTATATAATATCCTAGTACACTAGTCAACATTATCAATTATCATTCCATAAAATTCCAGTTCACTAGTCAACACTATCAATTGTTATTACATAATTTCCAAGTTAACACCATCAATTAATATTACATAAAATCCCAGTTCATTTGTTAACAATATCAATTTTTATTATATAATATCCTAGTTCACTAGTTAACACTATCAGTTATTATTACATAATATCCCAGTTAACAAGATCAATTATTATTACATAATATCTCAGTTAAAACTATCAATTATTATTACATAATATCCCAGTTAACACTATCAATTATTATTACATAAAATCCCAGTTAACACTATCAATTATTATTACATAAAATCCCAGTTCACTAGTTAACACTATCGGTTATTATAACATAAAATCTCAGTTCACTTACCACTATCAATTACTATTACATAATATCCCAGTTCATTGTTAACAATGTCAATTATTATTACATAATATCCCAGTTCACTTGTTAACAATGTCAATCATTATTACATAATATCACAGTTAACACTATTAATTATTATTACATAATATCCCAGTTAGCACTATCAATTATTATCACATAATTTCCAAGTTAACACTATCAATTAATATTACATAAAATCCCAGTTCATTTGTTAACAATATCAATCATTATTACATAATATCCCAGTTAATACTATCAATTTTTATTACATAAAATTCTAGTTCACTAGTTAACAATGTCAATCATTATTACATAATATCACAGTTAACACTATCAATTATTATTACATAAAATCCCATTTCACTTGTTAACAATATCAATCATTATTACATGATATCCCAGTTAACCCTACCAATTATTATTACCCTATACCCCCGTACAAGCTATTATACACAATTTTCCCCTCTCATTACACAATATGATAACCTATACACCCTATTTTACACTGTGAACCCTATCCATCATTATCATACCGTAAACAACTGATCATAGGTAATTTTGATTCCATGCTTTAACTCACCATCAAGCCCTATCCTACTCAACTGAATCTAATCATTTCAACCAAATCTCGATAAAATTTCCGGAATACAACTGGAAAACCTTACTTTGGTGTAATTAACTAGGCAATCTATAAAAGGCAATAATAAACGTATTCACAAACATATGCTGCCTTATAAAACCAAACTAAAGCCAATCATATCTAATTAACGATGATAATTATTCTCTGAAAAAGGAACTAGAAATGAAAACTGAAAAGAAAACATCAGTTTTTATCAAATACTTCTGACTGTTATGTATCGAGATCTAACCCATATGGTTTACAATGGTGATGAAATGCAGACATTTTAATATAGAACGAGAAGGCGATTAAAAACACTATATATCAATTATTAATAAAAATTTTTAAGGGGGGTACTTGTAAACATTGATCATTTGAACACAGAATACTTACTAGGTACATGTAAACCTTACCGTAAATACCCATATTTATTTTGAAACGGCAAAGACCGCGTTTTGAGATATTCTGTTAACAGTCAAGAAGTTTATTCACGAGAATCGACAAAAACGAATGAGATTCAGAAATTTCAGGTAAATGAATCAAAAATGGAATGTTTTCACAGTATATTTCTCTTATAATAATTCAGACCAAAATATGTGGAATATATATCTTAATTGCAGATTTTTCTCTCTTGACATTTGTGGTCATTTACACGGAAGCCCATCTCCGTGTACGGAAAAACGTGATAAGCATAAAATTTTCTGATATTTTGCTGAATATGCACGTTCACTCGTGGGATGCCATTAGTTACAAACAAGACAATAAATTCAAGAAAGCATTTCATAACAAATAAACAAATTATGTCAATATGTAGGTATATATATATATTTATACAGCGAAAAAATTCCACTGACAATCAGCTTTCCAAAATGTACTGTATTTGCGTATTGCCACTTACAAACAAACTGATCTTTGCCAATTAAAACAAAAATTATGTAGGAGTACTTTAAAAAAAATAATTCAAACATTTTCTTAAAATTTATTGAATGCTTATACTGAAGTTGATTTCAATTCCACACCCATTTTAAACATTACACACTACAAAATACAATTTATTTTGAAATGATATAAAACGAAAGTGATGTCACCAGACAGTGATATTTGTCCTCGGTTTTAATCATCAAGTGAATTTTTACTTTAATAGTGCCCCCTTTTTGCAATGAATACTATAACACAAAACCACTACAACACCACCAATAATTCTAGTTTTTTTTTATAAAAAATCAAAATAATATGTACTTCAAAAGGACAAAACACTGTCATTATATAATGAGTACTTACAATGGTGATGGAGAATTTTTACTAATTAATCCCAATGAGATGGTGTAACGCTGCGAGGAGCTCTTAAGCTACACAACCACTCGCTCTCATCTAAGTATATAACTGTGGTATACTCCGGCGCCGTAACCTAGTTCTAACCGACCCGTGAGGCAGTCTCTGGCTGAAAGCCAATTCGGCATAGTGCATAAAGGGGAAATCTGGTGCGACACCTGCATTAGTCGGGATCGTGTTTAGACCTATATCCAGCAGAATATGTCTCCATCTGGGTCTAATAATATGTTTCTCCAAAATTTGACTTCTGTCATACATGTATTTAAAAAAAAATCTTCATATAATGTTTTGATGCGAATTCCACGATAGTGAATATGTTATGCAGGATTTTGAATATCGTTTACTCCGCAGGTATATATCGCGAAAAAATAAGAAGATATTTGTGTAGGAAAAACTTATCATGAGATATGACTAGATTTGGCAGTAATCAGGGAAAATGATGCTATATCGACGTAACGTTCATAAACAGTTAACGAACTGTTCCTAAAACGACACCAAACTGGTATTGTGTTTAAAATCCGCTTGCCATAATGCTACATTATGTTTTTTTAAAAAAAATTGTGATCATTATAGTTAATCTTGTTTACCTACAGCAAAGACTACAGAATACTGATTTCGAGCTTCAGCCGAACGCTTCTATAAATTCATTCACAAATACCTGGTCATCGACCTCGCTTCTGCTCTTTCTCCTTATTTTGGTGTTTGTCTCCAAAAATAATACGCCTCTAATAGACCAAATGCAAACGAATTCACGCTACTTTAAAATGGGTTGGTCCTAACTGCATGTTGCTTAGACGCAGCAATTGTTATCCAGAAGAGTCCTTTTAATGTCATAGAGACGTCCGTTCATATATAATCACTTAATTACAAAGGCAAAGTCTTGCGACCCCCTGCCAAGTAAATGTTTCCCAGCATCGGAAATTTTTTTTTTCTGAAATTAAGAAAGTAAAGACGTCACACAGATTTTGATATTTAACACTTAATTGGTAACATGATATATGATTGTACTTTCCGCAGAATTAAACACCCGGAACTATAAATAACACTTCCGGAAGTATATATAACACACCCGGAACTATATATCATATCCGGAAATATGTATCATATCCGGTACTACACATAACACACCAGGAACTATATATCATATTCGGAACTATATATAACACACCCGGAACTACTCATCATACCTGGAACTATATATAACACACCCGTAAACATATGAAAGGCACAGGGATATATATATCACACACACGGAACTATATATTACATCCGGAACTATATATAACACATCTGGGAATATATAACCCACATGGAAAATATATAACACACCTGGAACTATATATCATACCCGGAACTTATATCATACCCGGAACTATACATAACACAGCCGGAACTATACATCATACCCGAAACTATATATCATACCCGGAACTATATATAACAACACCCGGAACTATATATAACACACCCAGAACTATATCACATACCCGGAACTATGTATACTTCATAAAAGTATCTATATTATAACTTCATAAAAGTATCTTAAAACGATTTTCCCATTCATGTGAAATTTTATGAAACGAGTCTTTTTTAATATTTGTGCAACCTAAGAAGCGCAAAAAATTGAAACTTCGTGACAAATTCCAAAAAATGTCAAATGAAATGAAAACAGTTTCAAGACGCTTTTTAAATCACATAACAGAGAAAGAAGTCCACCTCCGAGGCGAACATCAAACGACAGCATTTAGTTGTCTCATTTTTATTTTATGGCGTAACTTCATTGTCCATATTCTGACAGCAAAATTGATTTTTTACTGGCGCAGCTAAAAAAGAATGCTCTAGTGCATTTTACACAGTGATATGTAAAATTACTGCATATTATAAAAACTGAAAGACTGCCTGTATAATCATCTCTCGCTACCTGATGCGTTCTCATACGTCACTAAACAATCCTAAGGTAATTAAAAGAAACTTTGAGCAGTATTGAGAAATGATACAGAATAACAAACAAGAAAACGTGACAGGTCAATCGTCGTCAAAGAAGAGTCCAAAAATAACATCACATTGCCGATTGAAGGCTGGATTAATCTTGAACAGGTGTTGTCACAATAGCGTGGCAACTACAGTGATACGTGTTTCAGTTTACAGAGCGTGCGACTTATTACGACATATTTGCGAGAGTAGTGTAACGCCTGGACATAATACTGAAATCCGAGCGATGTCAAGTGAACTTCCTGGTCTGTGTAGGACAATCACAGTGTGGGAGATGCATTACATGTTTTTCTACAAAATCAGCATTCATGTGTCGTGAGTTTGGCCAAAAGTTGTGAAATTGAGACAGAGCTTGAATTTTGAATCTGGAGAGTTAAAAAAACACGATTAAGTGTGGCACACTTTTATCAAAGCTAAAAGTCAAGTGGGCAGTCGTCTCTTTTCATGCTGGGTACATTTTTATTAAAGTTATATTTTGATAAAGAAATCTGAAAGTAAAACTGAAAGAAATAACAAAATCTATGATGGAAACAAAATTCAGCCCCGAGAGAAATAAAGCTTATTCAAACGGTTGCCCCCGAAGTAATCATCTTGCCCCAATTTAATTTAGGAATTGATTTATTGAATAACAGAGGCACGTTAAAATATCAAAATTAATGTCCTAAGTAAGACGTTTGAAACAACGCACTGACAGATACACTAGTCTGTATTAATTAAGTTTTCAATTGTTGAAATATCGTTATATTTTTTACAAAGTCATGATCATTTCACCAATCTTCACGAGATCACATCCTCATTAACAGAATATGAACTTGTTATTGGTCAGACAGAACAAGAAAGCATCGCCATGGAAACAAAATTATCATCCTAAAAACAAAATTAAAAAGTAAAACGAGAACAAGAGAAAGATTTACACGGAAACCCCGTGAAAAAATACAAGGAGAATAAGACCAGGTATTCCGCAATTGTAAGCGTCTTCTGCTTCGTCGACGACACCTGCAATGTAAATCCTGGCCAGTTATGGTAAGTAATGTCATGTCCTCAAATGAGAATAAGGTATATAACATCGGAACCACAAGGCAGACTAAAGAGGACATAAACACCCCACTTCCCAATGATACCATGAAGGCGATTATTGAACGTAATATTGTTTTCTTGCATTAATACGCACATTCGCTGATCCTTTTCACATCATTATGCCATTTTACCACTGAATTAAGGCTGTAAGGTCTTATTACCTTAAGGCTGAAGAAACCCCACTCTTCTCTGATACACCATGCCCTTATGTTGTAACTTTTTGTCATGATATTGTTTGTGGTCCAACTGCTTGATCAGGACGACCTCGAGAGCAGATAAGAAAGAACAAGAAAACACCAACATTTCAATAACATTATAATCAAAACTTAACACGGCAAAATCTGAACAAAAGCAATACATATAAAGTAAAAGAGAATAAGGCCTGGTGTCCCGGAAGAGTAAGCGTTTTCTACTTCGTCAATGACACTTGTCGTTGAAACATTGGTCAATCAAAGTAAAGAAAGCAAATTAGAACAAGATATAAAACGACAGAACTAGCACGAAAACCAGCGCGTTCTATAAGTGTATAAGCGTCATATTATAATATAAAGAATTTATTAATGACATCACTATGACGACAGTAAAACTTTCCTATCATTTCCATCAACCCTCATCTTTCGAAACTTTGTGCTTGTCCGTCAGTTGTCGTCACCTTGTACGAAAGTGGGAACAGGCCCTAGAATACCGAATCAACTGTAACACGCAAACTCCATGGGTTGGGAATGCAGGGATGTTGCTATCCAAACATATAAGATTCACAAAAGGAAAATTGAACTCATCACGCTTCTGATACAACTTGATAGAAAACTGCCTATACTGGTTTCGTTGTAGGAAAAATCGAGATAAGGCAGCCTTGTCTTTGATTTCCATTTCTGGTGGATTTATACGATGCACCTGGTCAATATACCTAGGTGTTTAAAGTCATTGTTTTTTTACCTGTTTCATAACGCTCTTCCATATATTCTGTCTCGTATGAAAACAATGACCATCAAATAACAGAGGGACACAGTTAGTTCCAGTATGTTCACAACCATGTATTTGCATCGCCATTCACGTTTCTTGGCAGAGAAGACTCTCATAACAAGAGGACAAAGGCATTTTTTTAGAATCTGGTATGGTGGTATACAGAGTGGAAAAAGCAGAAGTTCTTATAGAAGAATGCTTTTAGAAGGGGCGTTGAAGAACGATAAAATGTTCTTTGGGATTTTTTGAAACCCACATATCATTAATTCCACTCCTTGGATAAACGGTAAGCCTACCAATCAGTTACTCTCGTTTGAAAAACGGATAATAGTAGAAAGAAGTTTGAACAAAGATTTGTATGAGCAACCAGAAGAGCCAGCAATAACACGCTGTTTATATGGATTCTAGGGATGATTTGGAATCCAATATAAACGTGGCGGGTCAATACATTTATCATTAATTGGCAATCTAAGTGACTGTAATAGTAAAACATGATTAACCAGTATTTCTTTTTTTTCAAAGATTTTGGCAGTGAATTTTATCCGAGCTAGATGATTATCTGGTGTTCCAAGATGTCATGGAGACACTCAGTTTTTGAATACCACTTGGCCCTTGTCAATGCTAAAACATACTGTAGTGTTAGATATAGACATACTGTTAGATATAGACATACTGATATATGTGTTAGATATAGACATACTGTTAGATATAGACATACTGTAGTGTGTAGTATAGATACGGTGGCATATTTATAGCATACTGTTAGATATAGACATACTGTTAGATATAGTGTACTGTAGTATTATATATAGACATGTTAGATATAGACATACTGTATAGATATAGACATACTGTAGTAGATATAGACATACTGTTAGATATAGACATACTGTTACATATAAACATACTTTTAGATATAGACATACTGTTAGATATAGACATACTGTTAAATATAAATATAGTTTTACATACTGTTAGATATAGACATAATGTAGTGTGAGA